CAAGGGCTGGTGCCACTAGGTAGGGAAGAGGCCACAGGCCATTGGGTCTCTAAAAAGATGACAAGTGGCAAACCACATCCTCTAACCATCACCCTGGGTCTTTAAATGTGGCCTTGGTATCCAAGGCAGCCTTTCACTCACCTGCGCTGCAATCCACTTTCAAGGTCAAGTGCCATTTATACTTCTTTTATGGATAGAAGTCAATCCACCTCAAGGTCTGATAGCAAATTAAAATCCACCTAAGTATCAAATGCAGTAAATAAGCTGTCGTTTTGGTAGTCACTTTAACCTAAGTATTAAAAAGACTGCAGTCCTCTAGCTCTCCACCCTCAAATGCAAAGCCAGAGGTATCTTCTTGACCACCCAGCCCGTGGAGAACTGTAACCAAGTGGCATTTTCGGTATGAAGTATACATAGGGAAGACCACCAAGCAAACCTAAGTTCCACGAGGGCCGGGATTTTTGTCCACTCATGTAACCGAGGCACCCGAATGCGGCCCTGCTATATGGTAGGTGCTCGGTAAGCTCATGTGATTGCGTATAACATCTTGCTTTAGAAAGCACCTGAATCCACCAAATTAAAACAGCCAGGCCAGAGAGGGGTTTGTAATCAGAAACAGTGAGAGGTGCTTCAAAAGAGCAGAAACATAAGGCTTCGATTACTAGCCTTTTGAATTTTTAAAATGTTTGACTCTGTGAAGAGTAAAAGCAACCAGACCAGGAGGGGCAGCTTGTTCCCAGCAGGATGGGAGTCACAAGACTTCTTGGGACTCTTCCTTCCATTGAGTCAACGTTCGTGTGCCCGTCGCGCCCGGGCACTGCTGTCAGCACAGCACCCGGGTCCCCAGGTGAGACCTGGCCCTGCTTGTTCAGTTCAGTGAGATAGTCTGCTAAGTATCCAATCCCAGTAAAAAAAAGGCCTCCTTCTGGAGGGAAAAACTCAAGAGACCATCTAGTCCATTCGCTGCTTTGGCAGATTGGGAACTAAGATCCAGAAAGTAAAATAACTTGCCCGGGGGCAAAGCCACCCACGGCAGGGACAGAGAGGGCAGCGGTCTGACACCTGTTCACCGGCACATGGAGGGATGGACAAACGGCGAGTGCACGGGCCACGACGGGAACCCACTTCTCCTTCCCAGAGCCCAGTCAGTGCTCCATCTCACAAGTCCCAGCTTGTCAACAGGGCACTGGAGGAGTTCGGCGCTCCGTTGAGCAGAACATATAAAAACCAAGGATACTGAAAGTCGTTCTGAAGCTGCATGGAGCCCTCACCTCCTCCGCGCCCGCCTCCTCCCCCATGAGTTTCTGTAACACCGGAGAGCTGGAGAGCTGTAAGCCCGAGACAGGACCATCTGGCCAAGGGAGGCTGATCACACCTTCGGCTTCACCACCATCCCCGCGGATGCAGTGACACGCGCAGAGATCGGAACAAAGTACGAGAATAGCAAGTGCTACTGTGGTGGGCTTTAGGAAACTGCTTCTATTCAATCGTTTTTAATTTAAAGAACAAAAGCAAAACACAGCAATTCCATCCAAGCCCAATACAAATGTTACCGCTTGTTTCATTCTTGTGGGGATTCTTAAAAAGAAAAACCCCCAAGCTAAACTGTTAAGAAATACAGAGGAGGCTGAGACGCCCCCCCCCCCCCGCTCCCAACATGAAATTCTTTATTTCCCTCTTAACAAAGTTCACAAGGTACTTCTCAGCACCGCGGCCCCAAGCTGCCCCAACTGCACGTCTACCCTCTCGGCTATAGAAGCAGTTTAGCAAACCTTCAGCGGGTGCCAAACAGGGGCAACTGAACGGGGGCCGTCTGTCTGGGTGGACTCTACACGCCGCACCTCCTACCACGCGCAGCCTCAGGCAGCTCCTGCCTGTCCCCTTCCTCTTCCCCAGGGTGGACAAAAGCAGTCCTTTCACAAGGGTTTAGAAAGCGTTTTTATTGGTTACAATTATATAAAAAGTCTCATTTGAATTCCCTCTAGTTATTAAGTGCTTGCTAGCAACAGCATCAAAACACTTCTTATACATCTGACAAGCTCCAATGATTTCTTTCAGGCCGGAAGGGGAAGAACAGCAAAGGGCAGTCCTGTCTGTGTAAGGAACTCGTCCCTCGTCCCTCCCTCCCTCCCTCCCTCCCTCTCTCTCTCTCTCTCTAAGGCTACATTGGTTAAAATCAACGGACAACCTCTTTTGTATGTCAAATTGTAAATTTTAATGTTTTCATTAGAATAGTCTTTGATATCACTCTCCAAGAAGAAACAATAAAGTAACTAACAACAAACTTCAATACAAGAACACTCTCCAGATTAACAACTCCAACAAAAATGGAAAATGTAAATCACATATAATACAATTGAAGTGTCCAAAACAATTTAAATAATTTTAAATATTTTATTTTTAAACTGCTACAAATGCTTTGTACAACATTTCAACACAAAGTCCCCATAACAGAAATGTAACAAAATGGGAATGGTCGCGAAAGGGTTAAAGTGGCACAAATTCACCAAACAAGCATCAAACTACACATTTTCAGAGGTAGATTACTTTTAAAGTCGAGAACAAAAAAAAAAAAAAACAACAAAAAACCAACATGAATAAAACCAAGCCATTTTCCACCAACTCAGTCATCGATTAAGAGAAAGGCATAGAATGCACAGAGAAACGACACAGCCACTCGGGAAGAGGCCAATTCGTGGGTTTGTTGCTCTCTCTTAGAGACAGAAGTGTAAAACCTGGCATGTAAATCCATTTATACTTACGTGTAGACATACATCTATAGAGGCCTGTGGTGCATCCTGGGTGCGGATATATATTGCTACATAGTCTCCAATAATACAATAGTTATAAATTAGTGCCAGATAATCATCTGAGAGGATAATGTCCATTTGGATATATGAACATGACACTGGAAGAAGCATCAAAAAACAGTCCACATCCAATCTGGTTCCCTCTCCATTATGCTGGCAATCTGCTTGTGATACATATTTCAAAAACAAAAAGAACACACAAGCTGAGAGAAGCTAAATGCCTCTCTGTATATAACTCATTTAAAAGAAAGGCATCAAGAGCTGGTGTGCGACCAAAACGTTTTTAGAATGAGTGCATCAGAATCTGTCATCCCTGAAATCTACAGAGAACTACTCATAAACCAGAACTTGCTCTGGCAAGGTTAAGTTCCAAACATTCCTTTCTCTGCCGCGCGAAGACCCGGAGCGGCGCTCAGATCTGAGCCCCCAGTGCCGTGGCGATGGGCCCCAGCAAAGCAGCAGAGACCCGAGCCTAACCAGGGCAACGAGAAGCCTGCGTCAGTCCTGCGTTAGGATTTTTGAGTCAGCTTCAACTGGTCTTGCAAGCGTGGGACATCTCATATCCTTGGCTGTAGTGCTTATCCTAAGTTGAACATGCAGTATCTTTATTTAGCCAATTAAAGGTTTGCTTTTGGGGGGGCTTTCTATAGGAAGCTCCTAGAAAATAAGGAAACTAAAGATGAATGGCAACATAACCTCACCTGACATGACCTGACCGTGGTAACTGAACGGTGCAAAGACCGTTCAACGAATGTCGTTAGGACAGCTGACAGAATGACTCTGAAGGTGCACAGGAACTTGGGTAGCCTACTCGAGAGAGGCCGGGAGGGACCACGAGCAGGTCTCTTTGGAGCGGTGAGCGGCAGAGACAGGTATGTGAAAACAGCATCGCAGCGTTTTTTCAGTCAACTCATTCACGGCCAAGGGGAAAACATGGTCTGGTAGTTCGTGCTGCTTCTCCATCTTTAAGTGTTTAACGAGAACACAGTTACTTAAGCTGCTCTAAAAAAAGCATTAAAGAATGGAAGAACACCCTGGAATTTACGAAGACCAAAAAGATGGCCAGGGGCGGAGGATGTACCTCTTTCCTGTTGTAGCAGGTGGCAATGAGCCCTCAGCAACAAATCTAACTTCAGTCCCACAGCAGCATGCAGGCGGGCTCTGGCCACTAACTGTGCAAGGTGAGCCCAACACAGGGCAGGGTCCACGGGGGATTGAGAGCTGCCACAGGACAAGCTAAAGACGGGTGGTATGCCTGCTGTCCTCCGCTGCCCAGTCCTAAGAGGAGGATGTGGAACACATGCCTTTCTTACACCCTGACTGGCACCATGTCTTGTGCTCCAGGAAATGACCAACTGGCAAAGTCGGCTGAGCCCTCAGCATTCAGTGGGAAACTCTGACTTCATTCACATGGCTTGAGAAACTGTGGAATCCTCAACTGGCATTCCAATGTAAAAATGTCTGAGCGCTGGGGACTAGCTCTTAGTCACAGTTTGTTACGAAGGAACACGCAGGAAAAGGGATGTGCTGCCAGTTTCGTGCAAGTCCTTGAATATGCAAAGGGCTAAGTAAAGTAAAATCACTGAAAACAAATGCAAAGCAAGTATTTCTAAACATGCACCATGAAGTCATCCCTGAATAAAATTTACAAGCAGAAATATACCGAGAAGGGACGAAGACTACATCTAACACAATTCCTTTCCAGTGTAACACACCCGGCACGGGAGGAGGATGAGGCGGGCTTTCTGAGAGCCCTGCACTGGACAGTGATGACCAGCCCCACCTTCAGAGGCTGGAGCGCAGGAATCCCAGCCTTAGAACAAATGCACAAGGTGCTACCGACGGCCACAACAAACTCTCTGAAGAACTGCCCCCACTCTTGTGTCCGGATAATTAAACTATGATGTCCTATGGAACCTGTTTGTTTCTTTACTTCCCAAATTTAATGGTCCCCTGGAAGCAGCGCCCCACCCTCCCTGCACCCCCCCACCCCCCGACGTCAGACAGACGTCCTTCGTTCAGATGTACCCACAGTACAGTTCCAGTGACCCCTGCTGCCACCATCTACCCGTTAGAAACCACAGCAGTGTTTTCTTATCAGACTCTTCAGTGCTGCCTTTTAGGCCAAATCCATTCCAGCAATGTAACCCTCTGTTAACTATCAAATAAAATGAAATAATCAAGATTAACTGGAGCAAAAAAGAGAGACACAATTTTATTAGGCACTTTGGTCCTTTGCAGTTTTAAGGGTTCTTCAAAAAGCACTGGATGAGTATAGAGGCTAAGTGAACGAACTTCATAAACGTATAGTTATTCAGAGAGTTTATCTTTATAAGTAATTTTGTATAACCTCAGCCTTGAACTGTATAAATGGGATCCAGTACAAAATAAGTGATTCTTTCACGTAACACTGCAGACAAAAAGGGATGCACACAGTACATTCTAAAGCATTAACCACATGGGAGATGTTTTTTAGTACAGTCAGTGAAAATGATGGCATTTTCCGGTTCTTTAACCTTGAAAAGGAGTCGGTTCAAGAATATCCTGTTGTTGTGGAACTTCGCAAACACAGATGGAGTACAAACAGTTACACTGCTACAGGTAGGCAGCTTGAACAGCTGATATACAGGTGCGTATTTTCACCAGGGCTAAGCTCCAAGATGGTATGTATGCATATGCCACGGCCAAAGACCGGATGCTGAACCGGAATCATAGAAACTGCGATTATTTATAGTTCACTTACGAAAGTCGCTTTTTTAAAACGTGACCCTTGATGCCTACAGTAAATCATTCCAATCAGCCTTGGCTAATGATCCTTCTCTTTATTTTTCTTTAGCCAGGACTTAAGGCACACCAGCACCAAGAACTCCACCTTATCAACTGTGCAGTGATAACCGCACCTCCGAGTCCTCGTGACCTCTCCAAACTGCACTCACTCCCCCAGAATTCATTCTAATGGTTTGCCTGAAACATCAGAGTTTTCACTCAAAGTTATAGCCAAGAACGCCTAGAGCTGAGCAGCTCATTACTCTGAAAGGACAAGATTCTAAAGTATTTTGTGGAAATTCTATCTCATGTTGACTATTTCACGTGGGTTTCACCTGTAGGCTTTATTCCAGGAAATAGGAATTCCGAGAATGCACATCACCTCGGGTTGAGTGACTTGAAAAAGTCTGAAAAGTCAATATGACAAATTTAACTATTGCCCTGTGTTTTTAACGTGTCACTGAGAAGAGTTTTTAATACAGGGAAGACACAGAATAAAACACTGAAATCAACCTCCAACCTAAGACGCCATCTTCCGCCATTACTAGGGGAACAAAGGCGCGGACGCGCGGGGGCTGACCTGCCCTGGGCTGCCACACCTGCCCCAGGGGCCTGCCAGGCTCTCGCTGTCCCACTGCCAGGCTCTCAGCGCTCCCTCCTCGTCTTTCTTCAGAATCTGGCCTGTTTATTTTATCCTATGTCTGGAGACGGGAGTGGGCTGGGGGCGGGGGTGGGGGACATAAGGCATCTTAAAAGGAGTACGGTGTCGTGTTTTTGCTTTAACCAATGAGGCAACTTTTTTCAAATTAAAACACACAAAAAGAAAGCATGAATAATAAAAGCATGCTCAATTACTATAACTACACTCCAGTCACAGAAGTATTAAACAAGATTGCGATGTGGTTTCAACGAACTCGGTGATCCAACCTTAACCATAAAGCAATGATCTATGATCTGGAAATAATACAAGTGGCACTGAGAAATTACCCAAGATACGGAGGAAGCGTGAGAGGATTTCATCTTTTCACAAGAGGGTACCTTTGAGAGCTTCTCATGGTCTCAAATTCAACTCGCAATCGGCCCTATTCAAGAAACGGTACCACTCGGTGAGTCCTAGGACTGACACAAAAGCTGGGAATTCAGGTCTGAGGCAGCCAGAGCAGTGACCCTTCTTCGTGCCTCCAACCGAACCAACAGCTACTTCCTTTAAACGCTTATGTCAAAATTCTACAGGAAAAAGGAAAAAAACAGCCATTGGGCAAGAATATTGTTTTCTTCCAACCGTCTTCCCCCCCGCGCTCGTCAGCTCGGACTTCCTGTGGCCCTGGAAGCCTCGGCTTACCTGAAGTCCTTCAGCTCCTGCTTGCCACCGCTGTCCTCCCTCCTGCTGTCACCCAGGTCGGCAGCGGCTGCCAGCTGGAGGCTTCGGGTGACCGGCCCCCCACTCCGTTCTCTAGATTTTACATTGAACCGGTCTGTTCTTTTCTTACTGGCCAGAGCGGATTTGCTCTGCAAGACGGCCTTGCTCTTCTGTACCCTCACGTGCAGGCTCCGGGACGTCTTGCTCGAGAGCTGAGCGGAGTGACTCTTGGCCACAGCTTTGGGCTTCTTCCCATCGACATGCGTTATTTTGGCCATCCGGATAGGGCTCGAGTTCCTCAAGGAGGAGCTGGGCTTTTTGGACTTCACCGAAGCCGCAAATTTGACATTCTGCTTGGACCTGAAGGACGAGGACGGCAGCGGGCCTGGCGCAGGGCCGGAGCTGCGCGCTCGGGTCTTGCCGAGAGGAGCCTGCACGCTCTGCATCTTAATCTCCGCGTCTGCCGTCCGGCGCCGGTGGCCGCTGCCGTTTTTGTCGCTGCCGGCAGGTGACGCGTGTCCGCCTTTCTTGGATGAAGGCGACACTTTTTTTTTGGACGGGGAGAGCGGCTTTTTGGGACAGCTGAAGGCGGCGTGTTTATTCAGGCTCCCGATGTACGTGAACTCCCTGTTACAGTAGGGGCAGATGTGCGAGGACGACTCACAGGCGGTTTTGAAGTCGGCCTTCTGCTTCGCAGATTTGTTCTTTTGAAGGATTGCTTTCTGGACAAGCTGGTTCTTTTTCTTCAATGCGTTTAGTTTGAGCTTGTTCGAGGACATTTTGCTGAGCTCGACGCTGAAGTTCAGTCTTTTGGGCTGTCCCATCCGTCTGAAGGCGTTCTTCCCCGAGTTGTCTAAAACCACCACACCGTTTTTCGGCTGTACAGTCTGTTTTAAGGGGACTGGGTTTTTCTTGGGGGTATACCTCTTCTTGTCACTGGCAGAAGCACATGCCAAGATGTGTTTGTGTAACTCTGGCATGTTGTCAACACCTTTCCCACACTTTGTGCAGCGAATGGCAGTGGTGAACGTCTGTGGAATATTGTGGGTAGTGAAATTTGTGGCCGTCACGCCGATGCCCATAGGGTTTCGGTGATGGTACTGAAATGGGGGCGGCTTAAAGCTCGGGTAATGCTGATTGAGGCCCAGCCGGACATCTGGGTCTTTCGTCTTTATGCCAGAAGCCATTATTTTTATGGTGGTGTAAAGCTCTTCAGAGGAATCATTAAGCTCCTCCTCTTCTTTCGATGCTTCTAAAGGATCTTCCGGCAAACTCTGCATATGCTCTCTGTGGGCCTTGCTGGGATCAGTGAAGTTCTGGGGCCTCAGCGTGTCACTTTCAAACTCATGGTGGGTGCACACCTGGTCTGGGTGGAGATCTCGCTGGTGCTGCTGCAAATTGCACAGAAATGCAAATTCCTTTTTACACACCGAACACACAAAGATATTCCCAACTCCATGAAGCAAGAAGCGATGCTCTGACAGGTCAGTTTTAGCCTTAAAAAGCTGCACACAAAATTCACATTTGAAGGGCCATTCTTCAGCATGGACAGATAAATGTTTGGTTAGATCTTTAATGGAAAGAAAAGGCAATTCACAGACATTGCAGACAAAGTTTTTGTTGAATGTTTCCTGAACAATCTCCTGTTCGACTGCAGACTGGGGTTCTTCCCTGGGTTTCAGATCATCATTCTCTAGTTCCTCCTGCTTGAGTGTTATCATGGGGAGAGAAGCTTCCAGATTGTCTCCAGAGGAAACAACAGATGATACGGCTGAGAGCGGTGGCGGCGAGGGGGAAGAGGAGGAAGACGAAGAGGAGAAGGAAGACGAGGAAGACGAAGACGACGACGAGGAAAGGGTCGGGGGTCCCGGCGAAGCAGCAGAGGTGAGCGGCTCCACGGAAGGAATGGGAGAGGGTGACGGAGACACTGTCGGGGAGAGAATGGGAAGCGGGGACTGCACGGTGGCATTCGAGAGCGGAGAGGGACACGGATGGGGAGACGCCTCAGAAGAGGGGGCCGGAAGAGGGGCGGTGGGAAGGAGTGGAGGCGGCGGCGTGGCAACAGTCAACACGGGAGGACAGGCTGCGGGGGAAGAGGGGTGCGTTGGGATCAAGAGAGGAGGCAGCTGCCCAGAAGAAAGGGAAGAGGCCTGTAGGGCAGGTGAGGAAGGAGAGACATCGGGTGGGGACTCAACCACAGGGGCAGATAAACTCGAGTCCGGGCCAAGGCCAGGGTCTGGCTGGGGGTCCAGGGATTGACACGGACTCGGGCTCCGGGTCACATCTGCAGTATTCTCTACAGGTACATCAATGCCATTGTATTCGTTGAGAAGAACCTTCTGCAGCATGCAGGTGGTTGGCTTCTTTTTCTTTACAGCACTGCAGGCTGGCTGCACCAGATGGTTTTCTTTGAACTCCTTGCCTTCAGAGTCGCCACAAGGCTTCTTATGCACACTGAGATCTAATACAGATTCCCACTGGACCGGAGTCTTGCCCGTACCCTCAGCCTTCTGTTTCACACCGCTGGATAAATCCAGTGGCTGCTGGTTGCACACATTGCTAAAAGCAGAACTGGCTGCCCACTCCTTAGATACTTTATATTCGTCAAAGCATGGTGGGCTCACAGTTTCTCTCTCCTCTCTCCCAGATAAACTCCACACAGGTGAGTTGCTATGACTCTCTAATTTGGGCTTTTTGGAACCTAGAACTCCATCACTCCACGCTGCTTTGCCTTCGCTTTGCTTTCCAAAGTCTCGAAGGGCAGGACTATGTTGTGGGGAACTGGGTGGAGAGCTGGTCCGCCGCTTAAACCTACTCGAGGTCACGGGGAGCATCGATGCTGGAGCAGACACACAAACAGGCCCTAACTTCGGTATCTCAGTCGCTGAAATGCCCCCAGGAGGAGTTAGCTTGTCCTGGGTCTGAAGAAGCTGTTTGAGCTTCGATGACAAGTACACACTTTTCTCCTTGTGGAAAGACACCGCCTCTGACGTGGATATGCTGAGAGGCAGTAAGGAACACGAGGGCACCGAGGGGTCAGGCTCTGCCTCAGCTTTGATTTTCGGTAGTGCGGGAGGACTCGCCGTTCTTCGCTTCTTGGACTCACTGTTGGTGCCCCCGGAAGGCTCCTTAGGAAGATCCTCTGCTATGGAGGCCTGTGCCGTCTTTACATTTTGGGTGATCTCCACCGTAACTGGAGTAAGCAGACAATTTATCCCATACAAGTCTGCCGAGCTGGACTCCATCTCGATGACATCACAGTTACTCGTGCTGCTGCTGGTCTGAATTTTGCCATCAATATAGAACTTTAAGTTTTCAGAGATATTGCTGGAGATATCCATGATGTACACGTCATCTGCCTCTCCGTCCTCCTCCGGCTCCGTGCTAGGCACGTAGACACTCTGGGCAGGTGGGGCCTGCTCGGCAGGGGGGTGTGGCTCCTCCAGGAGGCCCCCTTTCCGCCGCACGCCCTTGGGAATCAGATGGCGCTCGTGGACTCTGCGCTGATGCCGCCTCATGTTAGTATGCGTTCCAAAAACCTTCTTACAGTATTTGCACGGATGAAGCTCTTTAACTTCCCCATTCTCTTCCACAACAGAAGAACCGACGCTTTCCTGGGGAGCTTTCTCTGAATGCAGGAGCAGAGAGTCTTGCCCGAGACTGGAAGGTGGCGAGTCCTCTTTCGCAGCAACACTGTCTCCGGGTCCTCTGCCATCAGCGGGGTCCTCGGATGGCTGTAGAGGGAGGCTGGGCTTCCGCTTCAGCCCCGCCTCGTGGCGCCGCTCGTGCCGCCTCCTGTTGATCTGTGTGCCGAATGCTTTCCCGCAGTACTTGCACTTGAAAGCATGATTGACCGTGGATATGTGGATGTGCATGTGACGTTCCAGCCCCTGTTTGGTCGTGAACTTCCTTTCACAATGCTGACACGGAAACAGAAACGTCTCAAATATATCACCATTGGCCTCTTCCTTAGCTCTGGGAGTTCTGGTAACAGGTGGAAGCTCTAGAGAGCCCACGAGAGTTTCTTTTGAAACATGTTTTGGTTCTTCTAATAAATCTTCTGGCTTCTCATCACATCGTATTTCTGGCTCTTTTACAGAACTTTCATTTGGCAGGTCAGCTTCTTCCTCCCCCTCTTCCTCCAGCTCGTCATCTTCATCCTCTTCCTCTTCCTCCTCTTCCTCCAAATCATTCACCTCACAGTTCGTGGCTTCTGGCTTCTCGTCCGGTTCTGTGTGGGGCTCACAGGCAGTGGGGGGGACCACTAGTTCTGGAAGCACATCCTGACTAGCCGCCTCCTGAAGAACGGCTGTCTGCTCCACTGCTGAGGCTGAAGGCTTCTCGTCCTCTTCCTTGGGACCTAGAAAGCACAAGGAAACAGAAGCATGGGCATGAGGGCAAAAACAAGCCACTTTCTGATCAATTCTCAGTATTCAAACGATTTCTCTTATCACCCAAGATGCGTAGAGGAGCATATGACCAGCAATAAAAAGCTCTACCTTTGCATTTATAAAGCCGTATTGGCTAGGAATCCCATTATGTTCATTCATCCAACAAGTATCTACAGAGCGCCTGCTACACACCAGGCAACATGCGGTGCGGTGAGGATACGTACATGAACAGAGGGTGCCCACGTGGAGCTCTGAATCTTTTCTGTAATCAGTCACACACATATAAATACAATTCTGTTGACAGAAATCGTAGTACTTAAACCGTGTTGGAGGGGCGCCTGGGTGGCTCAGTGGGGTGAGCACCTGCCTTCAGTTCAGGTCATGACCCCAGGGTTCTGGGATCGAGCCCCACATCAAGCTTCCTGCTCAGCAGGGAGTCTACTTCTCTCTCTCCCTCTTCCCTCCCAGTGCTTACTCTCTTGCATGTGCACGCTCTTGCTCTCTCTCTCTCAGATAAATAAAATGTTAAAAAAAAATTAAAAAAAAAAAAAACAAAAAAACCTGTGTTGGATATGGACACAAAACTGGATTTGGGACCAGCATGTGATATTGGATATTAGGAGTCTTGTGAATTTTAATTCCTCACGATTCCAAACTGAAGCTAGAAAAGTGCTAAGAAGGGTGGACATTTTCCAAGTCTAAACAAATTATTAAGAACTCAGGAGCTGTGGAGAAAAAGGAACTTTCATGCACTGTTGGTGGGAATGTGAACTGGTGTAGCCCCTGTGGAAGACAGCATGCAGGTTCATCAAAAAATCAAAAACAGAACTACCCTACTATCCAGTAATCGCACTACTATTTGCCCAAAACAATACAAAAACACTCACTCAGAGGGATACACGCAGGGACACATCCCTTCGTTTACGGCAGCATTATTTACAACAGCCCAACTATGGAAGCAGCCCAAGTGTCCATTGATAGTTGAATAAAAGAAGATGTGACACACACACGCGCACACACACACACGCACGAGTATTATTCAGCCATAAAAAAAATGAAATCTTGCCTTTTGCAGCCATATGAATGGAGCTAGAGCATAATGCTAATAAGCAAAGTCAGGGAAAGAAATACCACACGATCTCATTCTAGTGTGGAATTTAAGAAACGGATCAAATGAGCAAAGGGGAAAAAAGAGAAAAAGACAAACCAAGAAACAGACTCTTTAACTACAGAGAACAAACCAGTGGTTACCAGAAGGGGAAGAAGAGGGAAGAGGTAAATAGGGGATGGGGATTAACAGTACCCGCATCACAAAGGGCAGAAGAATGTACAGAGTTACTGAATCGCTACACTGCAGACCTGAAGCGAATATAATACTGTATGTTAACTACTCTGAAGTTAAAATAAAAACTTAATAAAGAAGAAAGAATTCAGGAGCACCTCAAGAAGGAATAAAGACCTGAAGTCACCTCTGAGTCTCTATACCCGGGAGAACCACCCCCCAACCCCGCCCCAGAGGAAGACAGCGGCAGGCACAGGTGGTCAGGGAGGGACTCCCCAGTTACGGGGATAGGGAAGCAGAGGCTTAAAGAAAATGAGCCATGTGAACATCTGGGGGAGGGAAGCCCTCCAGACAGAGGAAACAGACACGTCAGCTCTGAGTCAAGAACGTGTTAGATGTGTTCAAAAAAACAGCAAGAAGTCAGAGAGGCTGGGGTGGGGGGGCAACTGAAAGAAAACTCTAGGTGGACAAGGATGGGGGCAGGGAGAGGTAGTGGGAAGTGGCTGGACACTGGGTAGGTTTTAAGGTCAAAAGCTGACAAGGTTGCTGACTGGTTGTGGAGGGCAGGGGAGGGAGGGAGGGAGGGAGGGAGGGAGGGAGGGAGGGAGGGAGGGAGGGAGGGAGGGAGGGAGGGAGGGAGGGAGGGAGGGGTCAAGGAGGATTCCACAGGACTGTAATAATCCTATTTACTCAGAGACTGGGGGAAAGTAGGTCTGAGCCCCATCCCCCCTCTGTGATTGTGCCTGCGCTTGGGGGGGGGGGGGGGGTCAAGAGTTACTTTGGAGGTGAAGTTTGTGATACCTAATATATCTCCGAGTAGAGATATCATTAAGTGCTTTTTTTTTTATAGGACTCAAGTTCAACAAAGAGGCTGAACCCAGACCATCCAAGTCCTCAAGCCAGAAGTGGTATTTGGAGTGTGGAACTAACTGCACGAAGCCGCCTGGGGAATGAATGCAGAGGCAGGAAGACAGTGCCCCCACCTGACCCAAGGGCTCACAGGTCAGAATGGCCAGTGAGGTGGTCTGAAGAGTAAAGAAAGTTCCAAAGAGCGATCCACTGTGTCTGGAGCTGCAAATGGGCTGGCAAAGAGCGGGACAGAAAACTAAACATCCAATTTAGCAAAGTGGAGGAGGTTGGGGATTGTGACAAGAGTTTTAGCGGAGCAATGGGGACAAGTGCCTATCAGGGTCCAACAGCGAGGAGACAGAGACTATGGTGCAGCTATAAAGGAGAGCAGAGAAGTGGCTGCAACAACTCACCGGGACAGCAAGGGACTCTAAGACAGGCACTGTCACGAACCCATTTAATGCTGACAGTGCTGCTTTCTCCATGGTACCACCTGAGTCCCTGCTCAATTAGGCCCTTTTTAAGAACATTAAAGGAGAGTTAAGAAGGGCTCCGTAGGGATCCCTGGGTGGCGCAGCGGTTTAGCGCCTGCCTTTGGCCCAGGGCGCGATCCTGGAGACCCGGGATCGAATCCCACATCGGGCTCCCGGTGCATGGAGCCTGCTTCTCCCTCTATGTCTCTGCCCCTCTCTCTCTCTCTCTCTCTCTCTCTCTCTCTCTCTCTCTCTCTGTGACTATCATAAATAAAAATTTAAAAAAAAGAAAAAGAAGGGCTCCATAAAGGAAGCAAAGCTACTCTGACTTCTGGCTCCTCGTCCGGTGTGCAAGTATTTCCCACATGCCAGGACTGGGTGAGTGAGACTGTCCAGATCCTACTTCCCACACAGCTTCCCTCCACCAGCTGATGATGCAGTCATAAATTAAGGGCCACGCTCTGCCAACGAGCCTGAGCCTACGGGAGGAACCCCCACGAGGTCCCACTGAGCCAGGGCAGGCAGGCTTCCTGGAGAAGGCCCTGGGCGGGGCTGAACCTGAAGGTCAAGGACAGGAGAGGAAAAAGAGAGCAGGAGTAATCAAAGCAGGCGCACCCTGGAGATCAGTGCAGACCTCCCGGAGGCCGTGGGGACCCACTGAGGTACTCTAAAGCAGGAGCCTGCGTCAGGGAGGTCTGGCTGCAGTGTGGATTACAGATTGGGAAGAGGACACCCCTGGAGGCAGGAGACCACTTCCAAGGCAGGGGTTCGGGGGGGGGGGGTGCGGGTGTGTGGCTACACTAAGAGAAGGAAATGGAAGGAAGCAGTGGACACAGAAAAGATTTGCCAGACTGTCAGAGCAGAGACCTGCCAACAGGCCCAGTGACCACCTGGATGTGGGGAGGCGGCACTACAAAGGCCAGCGGGTCCCAGCTCTACAAACACCACGTATTGGTGCAAGCTCACCCAGGCCTCACCCCCTGGCCGCTCAGCCTTACTGTGTACCTGCCTGTCCACTGTGACATTTATTGCCTCTCTCCCTTCCAACAGACAGGCCCTTTCTTCATTAATCCGACCAGTTCTCCACCGGGACACCAGTCATTTAATGGTGCTGGGAGCAAACTCCCTTTCCAAGTACATTTTCAACAAAGCCCCGGCACGTTGCTAAAAAACTCAAAATGAGACAACAGAAAATGAAAATAACACCTCTAAGGCTTAGAAATTTTAGAGTTCATTTTTAGCCAAAATCTGTGGCTTCTTTTACTGGGGAAAAAAAATTTTTTTTTCCTTTCCCTGTGATTGGTAAACAATCCCAGACTTAAAACTGTCCAAAATAATACGGAGCAAAACCCACAGAGCTCTACTAATTAACCAGTAAGGCCCACACCGTGTATGCACACATTCGATGAGGTCTGTTGAGTTTCAAAAATAAAGGAAGGTTTGGGGCGCACATGGAAGAGTCTGGACTGTTTGCTCAGCTGAGGACAATGCAGAACATTCAGGAGTGGCTGACAACTACCCTGTAAGGAACCAATCACACTTTGTCCAGCTACTCCAAACACAGGTACAGTATGAGGTTCTTTTCTTCACCAGACCTAATATTACATATCAGGAATAAATGTCTCCAATTACTGAAGGCTACTGGATTTTTTTTTTTTAATTCTGCCACTAAAAGCACTGAGGTTCTTTAGTATTTGTCCTGTTGTTCAAACAAAGTCTTAATTAGCAAATCTGCTATGAGCATGCAGAACTTAAGTTTCATAAGGTTCTAGGAAATCAACCTGCCTGTTCTTGCTTCATAAAATGCCACAGGAAATTATAATCCTTTATGAATGTCATCACTGCAAACAGTGCTGAAATAAAGCGGTTTGTAAAAAGGCAGCCAAAATATTCTGTACGGGTTTGTTTGTTTGTTTCTCCCCTACAAATGTTTCTTGAAAGAGTCACAAGAGTTATTTTGAAGTTTGCCTGTTTGGGTCACTACAAACAATCCTTAAAAAGCTCCAGGCTCTGCATGTATTTGCCACATAACAAACTTAGACACGCCTCCCTCATTTCTATTACCAACGGTCTCAGTGTGGCAGCTCAACTGCAAGGAGCACGGAACCATCTGTCTTTCTGATGAACTTCCCATCCAGCCTCTCTCTGAATTCTCACATCATGGAAGGCCTAGAATGTCAATCCTCAGAAGGGACTACAAAGAAGAAAATTTGGTGTGGAGAAATACAAAGAAATAAAAATAGGAATTTAATTTCTAACAAAAAAAAAAAAAAAAAAGAATGCTCTTCACTCTGCACACTTTTCATGCCTACCCGTAACATCAAAGGTGTTTTGAGACTTCAAGTACATTTTTATCTGAAGTGCAAAACATTAACAATATAAGAGTATCAATCATAAGTACACAGCGAGATAAAACAGTAGCAGAGTAAAGACACTAATGCGCCCATCCCCCAGCTCAGTGATGGACCAGCGTCAGTGATCCAGGGCCTTCCCGAGCCCCTGCCTGCCTGTAGGACTTCTGTCACCAGAGATTTGTTTCGATGGTTTAACTATTTATAAATGTGATCATACAGTAGGTTTCATTTTATTTTAATCAGGGAATAATCTCATTTTTAACAAAGAAGGTCTTTTTTAAGGAGAGGTGGGATGTGGAAGGCTCAGCTCACCATGTTAAATCCGGATAGCCTTTTGCAGGTAAACCTTTAAGGTTCTTGGGTGAGTCTCAGAAGGGCATCCTAAGGAGAGTTACAGTAACTAGCGATACATACCCAATCATACATGTCCAACTTCCAAGCTTACCTTCTGCAGAATCTCTCATATTTGCAGAAGCAGAATCTGGCTCGCCTGTCTTCAGCTGCAGGTCGTCAGTTTTGTTTGCTTTGTTTTTACTTTCCTGGGATTTTTTCTTCCCTAAAATACAACATTTATTTATTTACTTACTTACTTACTCACTCACTATTACCCTGAATTCTTGAAAAAGACAATTTCTAATCTAACGACAGCAGTTATCAGATCAGATTTCTAAAGAAAGGAACAAATGATGAATATGAATACTTTTGTCATGTCAGAGAAAAAAACAAAACCATAAACCCTGTATTTTGGGGCATTTATTCCCCTAACAAACTAATAGATCATCTATTCTAGAAAAGTTAAAAATACTGATGTCAGAGGAAAATGAGAGAGATACTTTCAATACCACCCAAATAAGGACTGGCAAGAGTCTGATGATTTGTAAGAAGCATACTGGGGAAAAACAAGGCGGTATAACTTGGGTCCCTTTTTGTTAAGATATGCTTATCCATAACTGTCAAAGTGAAACACCAAAAGCAGGCTCCACTGAATTGCAAAGGATGCATATTGCGCAGTGGCTCAAATATCAAATGCAGAGTAATTATGAATAATTCACTGTCAAGCCGGCATGAATTCTGAGGGTCCCCAGGGACTCGACTCCAGGTCCAGTACAATTCGGGATTTCATTAACAACTGGAAGAATGGAATTCAGGAAACACTAACTGCATTCCAACCAATACCACAGAGTTCAGGAGGTAAGATTAAAATGCAATGCATCTCTGACAAGCTGGAACAATGAGCTCAGGTCACCAAGATATTCAATATGGATAAGCAATTCTCTAGAAAAGCACTAATACTGGACGTTTGGCAGCTCAGTGTCTTTGGGATTTAACCAGAATTCGTGGCCCCCCCCCCCTTTTTTTTAATTCTAAGTTTCTTTTTCCTGGTAACTTGTTTTTCAGTTTCCAGATACAGAGCAGGGTACTCTTCATCCTCCCCAAACATTTCTTTCCCCTCCCGCAATGCTCTCCCCATCAGGCCTCACAGAGCTGTCCTTTCTCTTTCAGAACAAGCCTCTTGACACCTTTTTCTCTGAACTAGTAAAATGACAAACTGGAAACCACTCACTGCTCCTGGAAAACAGTATTCTCCGTAACAGAACATCACTACAGAGGAGCAGAATTAACTAAAATATAGACAACACATGAAAATGAGGTGAGACACACAAATAACATTGAAAAGTTCATAACGATTAAAAATGGAAACATCAATTATAAAGTAAATGCTAAATCCTAAAAAAAGCACCACCAGATTTTGATAAATACTGAAGAGATGAAACAAGGGGGGGAAGTACAAAAAACTCAATAATCGGGCATTTAAATGGTCAGTCTTAAAAAGCAAATTATAAAATACCATTTTAAATCCCTAGTTCTTCGGTCTGTTAAAAAAAAAAAGATGCTTTGATGCTTTCTGTCATTATGTAAGAGCTCGCTCAGATAAATTCCTGGTAACACATCCATCCCTCGTTTCCAAAAGCATCTAAAATGGAACTCAGGACACAAACACTTCTCTGAAACCATATTCTGGTGGGAACAGAAGCCGAGAGCTTCTAGGTGGGAGGATTATAATCCAATCTCCTCTGTAAAAGGGAAGGACACAAAAACACCTTTTCATAGGGAAAGAAGTAACCTCCCCCTTGTAATTCTTTTTCCCTTTGTCACCCTAAGGGCACTAAACCTCAATCTGATGACAAGACTCCTGAGGAATTCAACTGTGCTTCAGCAAATTTGAATTCTATCGATTTTCAATCAGTTTTCTTATCCTCACCATGACAGACGCCCTTCCCTGTATGTGTTGCCCAGTCCATATCAGACTACTGGTGGCAAACACTACAAACATAAATGATTACTGGCTACTAACATATAGTTGCTCTAATGCTGCAGTTCGTGTCTGTTGAAAACCACGTGAAGGACCCCGGTGCTCTAGGTTGCTGAAGTCAAAAGTTACATTCCGAAAAGTTCCCTGGATCACAGACACTAAAGTGTTGTAAGACATCAGCGCCACCTCATATACCCCAAAGAGCCCAAGGAATGGCCCTTTCTTACCTCTAACTCTCTATACTTTGTACAGGTCTGAGCTTTTGAAAGAAGTAAAAAATAGAGATGCAGTATAAGCTTGACCTGTTATGGAAAAATCTTACATACATTTCAAAAAGTCACACTGGGAAATTTAATAGAAAAGCAGATGTCAGTCTGTTGTAATACAATCCCGTACAAAAGCAACTCGAAGGGTTTCTGCAACCTTTCAAGTGCTATACAAAGCTGGTTAGCAGGTCATACCAAAAACTGGCCTATCTGTAAACAGAGTATTAAATAAGTGAAAGTTCTAGATTTATAATAAAACAGCACAACTGTAATGATACCATTCACCAATACGTATTCAGACTGAAATCACACAACTATCTAAAAGGCCAAAGCACTACTTGAAGTTTCATTCCTTGCCTAAAAGAATATTAAAACACCTTAGCTGATACTGAATGTCAGTTTTATACTTCTGGACTCTCCAAACCTAATCAGTGAGAAGGGGCCCCCTCGCCCAACTCCAGGGGCCCTCTTTAGAAAACAAGACCAGGAAACCTTGACCCCCTGCCCTGTGAAGAGAAACCACCTGAAGCAGGGACATGAGCATCCTATGCAGAGGGCCACAGGCTGCCTGGGCATTCCACGAATGATACCCTCTGTCGTGGGGCCTGTCTGATGCACTGGAGGGCGTTTAGCAACATCACTGGCCCCCACCCATGAGATGCCAATAGCATTCCAACTTTTAACTGCGAAAAGCCAAAGTCTCCAGACATGGCCAAATGTCGGGGTGGGGGTGGGGGGGAGTGGGGGGGGCGGGAGGCTCTTCCCAGGTTAAGAACCACTGGGCTGAACCAATACAATACAGGCCACGAAAGACCTAATCGGGGCTCTGCAGTCTACATACTTAAGAGTTTTTTTAAAGTATTGGAATATACTAGTAAACTAGTGATAAAAACAAAAGGAAAGGACAATTAAACATACTCCCAAGTCCCTTTGGGGAACGCTGACAGACTTAGTTCATCCTGGAAATGAGTCTATCCTAATCTAATTCTCATTCACTCATGAGTTTGAGATTAGCCGACACATGAAATGATCCTCACAATCCTAATCAGAACCACCTAACTAACCCTCGCATTACTTCCCATCAGGACCGTAGACTAGAGAGACAAAGGGGCTCTCAAAACCACCTGTCCTGCCTGCTATTTTGAGAGAAAAATGAAGACCAGGGCCCCAGAGGGACTAAATCATCGGTCTACTGGAGAACAGAAATGAGGGCCCAGGTGTCCCGACTTACACTTAGGCATGCTTGGCGTCACTCACAAAGCCAAACACTGCCATAACAGGACCACAGGTGGGGGAGCCTGCTACATTTCCTTAAATGAGTAAACTTCTCTTCCTGATACTTGGTTTCTATTCTACTTGTCATCCACGAAAAGAGAAAAACAAAAACAAGCCTATAACCAACAACCACCTGTGAGGGCCCTGACCAAGGGGCACGGGGACTTGTCCGTGTCTGTGAGGCAGGAGGCGCCTCGGGAACCCGGCCGGCTGAGCCCGCTGGGAGCCTGGTAAGTACACGTGTGCACTTACCATCAGGTTCCTGAAGGGTCCTACATAGAAGCTACTGCCAGCTGCGTGCTCCACTTGGTCTAAACAAGAAAGATACAGGAATGAAACACCAGGAAAGTGAAATGGAAATGCCAACAAAGAACGTAACGGGGGGACAGGACAAACCTCATGTATCTGAGGAAAAGAAATACACACACAGTCATGAAGAAAACGGAATGAAACAGAAGGAAAAGAGCAGTTACCTACTGCAGCAAGGTTCTCACGCACAAAAAAAAAAAAAAAAAAAAATTAAAAAATTTATCTTTAACTGTGTTCTCAGCCACTGACGGGAGGACCTGCTTGGTATACTTACTCTCAGGCCTGTACCACGCCTGCGCTGCAAAACAGATGTTCTTACCACTCACGCACATTCTGCTGAAGACCCGGAAGTCCCCGTCCACGCCTCTCATCTTACAGATATCCAAGGACCAGAGACGGGAAGTCATCTGCCCAAGGTCACATCACTAAATTCGCCCCAGAGCCAGAATGAACCCCCAAGGATGATAATGCTCAAAGTGTTCTTGCTACTACATTTATGTAAGATCAGTAATAACACAATAAAAATATCATATTCTTTACAAGGCACTTTTTAAAAGAGATTTTATTATAGAGAAAGAACATGTGTGCACATGTGCATTGAGTGGGAGTAGGAGCAGAGAGAGAGAATTCCAAGCAGACTCCCGCTGAGCCGTGGGGCTTGATCCCACAACCCTGAGATCAAAACCTGGGCTGAAAGCAAGAGTCAAATGCTCAACCAACCGAGCGACTCAGGTGCTCCCTACAAAGCACTTTCTTTTTTTAAAAAAAGATTTTATTTATTCATTAGACACAGAGAGAGGCAGAGACACAGGCAGAGGGAGAAGCAGGCTCCCTGCAGGGAGCCCGACGTGGGACTCATCCTAGGTCTCCAGGATCACGCCCTGGGCCAAAGGCAGGTGCTGAACTGCCGAGCCACCCAGGCTGCCCTACAAAGCATTTTCTATGCGTTTGGTTTGAAACCACTTGGTTTCAAGGGCAAACGAAAGAAAACTGCTAGAGACTTCCACTGCATTTATAGAAAAGGAACAAGAATCAAATTGGAGTGCATGCAGATCTTTTTCCCATTTCAACTTTATCTGATGTCAGACACGCTGATCAGTCAATAGCACAGAACCTCAATCTAAGCAAATATGATTCACCATTACACAGTACCAATAAAATTGGGCTTTCTAGTGAAATAGCTACCATACAGAGAAGTCCAACAGTCATAATGACTACTTTTTAAAGATAATGTCTAGCATTATACCTCCAGAGCCTGGGATGCAAGTTGCAAAATCAAAATTGCCTAAAGCATCACATAAATAATTTAACCTAGGTCCGGACCGTGTTCTACTAGTCTAATAAAACTGGTCAAACACTAGGAAATTCTAGAGAATAATGTTTCACTTAAAA